TTTCACTGGTAGGAACAACCATAGCGGGCACTACGTACTTAGTAGCAACACTTTGTTAAATTAAGTTTGTAGTGGAGGGTAATAGCTGATGACTTCCAACTCTTCTTAGGGTTATTGTTGATAAATACTGATTTTATCCACTGACACATTGTGTGCTGAAATTATATTCTTCTTTATAAACTTTCAGATTAGAAACACGAATTTAAAAACAATTCACATCCCAAGGAATGAATATTATTGCTCTTCAGTTAATGTTGTTTTTTATAACAATCGTAACGATCTCGATGCTAAATTTTGTATTAGATTGACTACTCTAATCTACGTTTCAGAACACTGGAAATACTGTACTGGGAAATTAAGCAAATAAGTGCCGTTTAAGCGTAATCGTGCTAGATAGTTGAATTAGACTAAATTTATTAAATCTAACTGAATTGGAATGCTTTTAGGATACAGCAGATTACAAGGATGAGGCTTGCGTTACGTTACGTTTGTTGAATGAGGTCTGGAAACCCAGACACGCAGTGAAAGTGGCTGATGCAAAACACATCAAAATAATGTGTAATGTCCTCAAGCGCTCAAACACCAAACATATCGCGTGTACTATTGCCTTAATACATTCTGTCTTGAAAGCATGTTCTGTTCTAAAAGCTGGTTTCCAGCTGCAGCGGGCGAAGGACTTAATTAAAGTTTCTTTTTTAAAAACTAACTGTCGCAGTTTTTGTACCGTTTCCAAAGTTGTCAATTTTTACATACTGCCTTACTCATATCTGAGCCATCGATCCGCCAGAAAATAATTGTTTTACTATTCTTCAGAAAGAAAAAAAAAACCATTTATAAAACAATTTGAAATTAGCTCTTACTGATAAGTTGCAGCAGTCATTTTGCCCGCATTTCAGGAGTCGAAAGCTTATGAGTATATCGCAGAATGTACCCGTGAAAATATTTTGATAAACGAGTTGGCTGCCGAAATGTGCACTCTTCATTTAGATGACGTGAAAATAGATTCAAATGAAAACCATACAGAAATATCGCATGCTCAAAATTCAGGATCTTCGAAAACTGAAATTTGTGTATCTCAAATGGTTGACGATTCACAAGCGACAACATCACATTCTACTGATTGATTCTGTTGTTCCATGCACAGCAAATTGGTTCAGTTCGTAAAACTCTGGGAATCAGTTTCACTTTCAAGAATTCTAATATCCGTGTAATTTTTTCATTATTTTTTTATCCAACATGTAAAATCTGCCTGAATATTCATTGGAGTCGTAATATTTGACTTTTTGAAAACAAAACGAAAAAAAAAATCTTATTCAGTGTTTTCCTTATTCGTATTAACCAAATTTATTCTTCCTAAGCAGTTCTTGATTTTTTAATCTTCCTTTCCGCGATTTTTATCTCGATTAGGTTGCACAGTGTTTCAGTTTGGATGTGCAAATAATGCAAAATATCTCTTAATCTTTTTCCAAGATTTTCGCATATGAATGTACTCTGTGCTTCTTTCTGAACAGTCTTTGGTTCTAATAATGTCAGGAAGTCTTTTGAAACCATACCACATGTTTAAATTTCGTCTTTTGACAGGATGAAGGGACGAGCAAAAAAAATCCCGGAGTCACGAAGATTGACACAAAGACCGCTTGATGAAATTATTTTTTGAAAATTCTCGTAAGGATCATCTTTCTGAAATACCTTACTTTGAATGCAGACATAAATTCTAGCCATCTCAACTTATCCATTTGTTTTAACTATATGCGTTGAAATTTTGTCCATTGTTTTCACCGTCTTACTCATTTTTGTTGACTTTATCCGGCACATATGTCGCTATCCGCGATCTCTTAATGGTTTCGCAACAATGATCTTTTAAAAATTGCTTCTTGTTATGAAACACTGTTTTTCTGTTCAGCGAATTAAGTTTCGCTTTAACGGTCATAGTTGTATGCGAGTGCTATCTCTTTGAAATGCTGCATCTCACTTTGTCCTTCGTAATTACTTCGAGAATGTCGCTGAAATCGCGAGGAGACCGCAGTGAATTAATAATTCCTTGTTGAATTGATACCGCTGGGCATAATATGGTGTATGTATGTAATGCCGTGCAATGTAAATTAAAATTGTGCTCCCATTGTGTCAATGTGGGCTAACAAAGGTACCGATTCTTGTGATCTCAGAATTGCACCAGGAGGTCATGAACACCAGGAGCATTTTCTCAAGATATGTTTCAGCGAGATT